CCTCTGAAGATGTCGGCCACAGAGACTGGCAAAACGTTAGGAAGAACAACCTTCAGAACACGACCAAAGAGCCCGGAAAACCCACACCAACCATTAGATCCCAGCCGTGAAAGCCTTCGCGAATATAAAAAAGAGTCAGTTTAGCAATAGTGTGTTTCTTGTCTGTTTTATATTTTATTTCATTAAATGCTTTTTTTCTGTTATTAAGACCAAGACATTTTTTACTACATATATGAATGTATTTGTTGTAATATTTTAACTACAATAAATCCATTCATATATACTGTTTAACTGAGTGAAAATTATTTGGGGTTGTTCATCTGAGCTCAAAGATTGAACATATAATTGAGTCCTGCTCCTTGTATGGGCAAGTTGATCTAAAACAACTTAACACATATCAGCATAAGGAATAATAAATAAACATTGCAAGAACCTTCATAGACTTAATAGCAAGTTTGCAACTGGGCAACAACCTGTTATTATTATTCACAGGTTGCTCCATTCCCTGCAGATTTTGTTCTGGGAAAAGGTGAGCCAACTAAACAATGTAATGGCTACAATCTTTAATTCACTGCAAGATATTCACTATCCAGCTGTATCTGACACAATTGACCTCATGTTCCTATTTGATTTTTTTTAATACTAGCCAGATTCCTATTGATTTATGCTTGCATAAGGGAAATTGCTTAAGTCACAATAGCAAATTGCTCACAAGTGAGGTTACATTCCTGCATATACATGTCCTTCCACCAAGTAATGCAACCAGCATCTTTTTAATGAGTGGCAATTTAGCACACAATTTTCATGGTTTCTCTAATACAAGTATAAATCACCAATATAATTCTCCCCATCCTTAAGTGGCTGTGTCCAGACAAGTTCATATCCTTCACTGAGATGCATAATAGAGTTGCATTAATATATAAAATTCTTGAATTGATTAGCCCTGCTGGCATATACTATATGTTTGTTTTCACTGGGTTTGCAATGTGTCAGGAATTATGTTGAATAGATACTGTGTTATATTGTGCATCATCACTTTTTGTTGTTAATATAATGAATTTTATTGTTGGGATACTGAGAACTTTATGATTCTGATCTTAACTTTCTAGCATTTTGTGTTCCGTAGAATGTGTTCTCTCTCCCTTTTATCATTCTTTCTGGATTCTTTTTAGACATGTTGTTTTTTTGTTTTTGCAGTTATGTTATTTTCAGCAAATGCTATGACTGGAATCCAACATTGCATTAGAGTTAAAAGCTAGCATAGCAGGACTTTTTATTATTTTCTTTCTCTCCTTCCCACACCACCCAACTGGTTAGCTATAAGCGGTTAAAGAGCTTCCCAGCCTTCAGGAGCACGTTTTAAGGGTGCAGAGGAGGGGAAGGAACTGCACAGCACCCAGTTCTGCTGACAGAAGCAATTTTGACAGTGTAACAATCTGGTTGGATCCTGCACAGTGTTAAGAATCCTTTAGATGTCATTTTCTGTCCAGTGTGTATCTCTGATGTGGAGAGGGGCTAATGTATCCTCCTATTTTAAGATCTCCTTCACTTTTCAAAAGCATGGTAAACACTTTTTTTTGCTCCAGTTGATCTTCAGCAAAGCTGGAAAAAAACAATCCCAAAATATTTAAAATGACTGTCTCTACTGAGATTTATTAGCAGTAGGATTGCATAATAGAAATCGGGTAATGTGGTTTATAGTCAACCAGTTCTTGCCTCGGTTGGTAGTTTTAATGGCTGCTAGAGGAAAAATGAACTAAACAGAATTTGTTCTTTCCCAAGTTAGTGAGAAGGTTACAAATGTTATGAATACTATTCAGTGCTTGTTTTATGTTACAGAGGCTACTTGGGCTTTGATTTAGAATTTCTATACTTTGAGCTTTTCTAGAGTCTCTACCAACATGAAACTTAAATGAGATGAATTGTCTTTGGAGTTACAGAGTGAACATTGTAGAAAATTGGTGCATTATTAAAGAGAAAAAATACTGCATTTTCTAACATAAATTTTGAGTGGCCTGCAAAAATGAATTTGTTGGCATCAGATAATGTCATATTTTATTTAGCATGTTGATCAATTAACTGTGTGAGAGAAATTGCTTCACAGATACTGAAATATAGTTTTAGATGGTGCAGTACTGCCCTCTGGTGCTGTGCATAGAATATAAAAACCTTCATGCATACATGCAATTCTGAGATTATTATATTATTAAAATTAAAAAAGTTTAATAGTTGAATGACTAAATCTGAATTAATCATGCATTCATGCACTAAACATTTTGAAAAGTTGCAGTATATTTGGATTAATCTTGCATCACTTGGGTAACTTTTTTAAAAACTTTTTTTAACTTATTATAAACGACAACATAAAATACATAAACCAAAATACAAATCATTTGTGTTCTCTACCACCCTAGTTGGGCCCTCTTGCAGTAGTCGTCTTCTTCCATTGTCTTCATTCTTCTGATTCCTTTATTGTCCTCATCTCCAGAACTGCATTGATTCCTGATTTGGAACTTTCCCTTTTTTGTTAGCACATATTCAATAAATCTGCTGCATATATCATAATTTTTTATCTCTTTCTTGACCTTTAAATTACATGTTAATTCATCATTTATAGCAATATTCCATATTTCATTATACCATTCTTCCTTTTCAAATTCTAGTTTTGATTTTCAATACCTGGCTATTATTAATCTGGCTGCTGTTAATAAATTGGTAATCAACTCTCTAGTCATCATATCATGTTTCATATTTACAAATATTGATAACAAAGTTATCTCAGGATTAAATTCTATATCCCTTTCACATGATATATCAGTTAATTCCTTAAAGAGTAATCTCCAAAATCTTTGTACTTTTTCACATTTCTACCACATATGAAAGTATGTACCAGTTTCCTTCTCACATTTCCAACAGATATTCAGAGAATCATTTGGGTAACTTAAATACAAATTTGAAAGATAATTAAAATACATTTATTATTCAAACCAGGTGAAGAAAGTGGGGTACATAGGCCACATGCAGTCCCTGGGAGTCTACAGAGCCCTTTACGTTAAAAAAAAAAACTGTTTTACTGTATTATGGGGTTTTTTTAAACAAAAAATGCCTATTTTTACCAAAATGAAAAAAGCATTAGAAGCAGCAATATTCTGCTCCTGGGCTGTTCCCACCACTCATCAATGAACTGGAAGTGCATGTTTGAGCACTTGCTATTGGTATCTTTTTGAAATGTCCATTTTCATATCTGGTACTGTGGAGGGTCAGACCTTTGACTTGCCCTATCCCTAAGTCCTTAGACCTTGGCTTATTTGATAGAATGTGTGGTATCAAGTTGATTCAGGGTTTCCTGGGCTTTCTAGGTATAAAGTACTCTGAAGTAGTGTATAATGTTTTAATTCTGGGGCTGCCCTGGAATTGTGCAGCTTACCTAAGGCTACAAAGGCTGCCTCTTCTCTTGGGAGGCACAGTGGGAAATAAAACTCCTGACTTTAAGCTCTCTAGCCCAAGTACTCAACTTATATAGAGTTAACCAGGCATCTCCAGACCTTACCAGCCTCTGACTTAGTTACATTTGTGTCATACCAATACTAATGTGAAACCTTTTACAGTACTGTCAAAAGGGATCTGTTCCATTATATTCTTCAAGTAATCCACGCTGAACTTTCTAAGCATTCTCTCTTGTCCCTTTTCATAATCTGCTCTGGTATCTGATTTGTACTGTATGAATTAATTTCCTTTTGCTTGTGTGTTTTTCTTTACAAGCATGCCTTTCATATAATGATAGAGGTAAGATACATTGTTTCTCATGGATTGGGGGGCTGTTTTATTATATGAGTTGTATTTGGACTAAGACAAAGTATTGTTTAAATATTCAAACTTCAAAACTCATACTTATAATATCACAAAATACTGATAATGTCATTCATTGCAGTAACTTTTGCTAACTAGTGAATTATTTGACTATAAACTGTTGTAGCAACTTTTAAAGTACTTTTGGAACTGTATTGTGTTTAATGAATATTCGCTACAGTGAATACAATAATCTTCACATCCTTCATGGATTTCTTTATTTAGGAGAGAAAATCATATTCCGTTGTTGTTTTAATTTCCTTGCAAATACTCAGGAAGTATTGTTACAAGATAAATGCAGTTTTTCTGAATCATAACCCTTTTTATTTTCTCTGTTTTTCTGGCTGAAATCTTGTTGCACAGTGTAGTGTATAGTAAGTCATACTGGAGTAGGCCATTGAATTGGAAGGATTTGGTGAGTTAACTCCTCTGTAAGCTCGATTCAATCAAATAGGACACTAGTTCTAACTTCAACATAATAAGTGAATAAATTCAGGGAACACATTTGCCTAATCCCCCACATACAGAATCAGGAGTGACAGAAGAAGAGCACAGGCAAATGGTCTTCTGCAGGTATTAAGATGGCTGCACCATGCAGCAAAGCACCACCAGCAGTAGATTGTCTTGAGCTCTCCCTGCTACCCACAAAGTGCACTTTCCTGCTGCAGTAAATCTTACTCTTTGGATCTGGACAAGGTTCGGGTGCCTGGTTCTGAGAGATCCTTGTGCATAGCCAGATATTATGACTGGTGTACCCTTTGACACTGTTGTGCCATTGGCATGCATGATACATGGTCCTCTGTAGAAGGACCCCTTGGACCTAGGCATTTTGTGTCTGGCTGGCTGTGGCATACAGTGGTGAATCTTTTGTTCCGTTTCTTCTTGGAATGAGGAGGGGGAGGGGTTGGGAGAGGAATGTGGATGGGTGGGCAGTTACAAATAGGGCCAGTAGCATGAGAGAGTTTGGACTGTCACAGAAGAATAGAGAGGGCTGAATGGGATAGGAGCTGTATGGGAGACGGAGCTCTGCTTCCCAAGGTAGAAAGTTCTCTTAAGCCAGAAGCCAGTTGCCTTATAAATAATACCATCCTTTGAAGAAAGGGCTGGCAGAAAATGGGGAAAGGCAGAGACATCAATGATAAACTAACTTCTGACTGAGCTTTGTGGGAGAAAGTTTGTTCCCTTTCCATGTACGTACACAGTAAGAAACAAATTAATTTAATACCTCTCTTGTATGTATATGTATGTATTGGTAATTGGCCAACTGAAGAATCCATGTAGCTCAGAGAAGCTGCGTGCATTACCTGCTCAGGGGTTGGGGGCAGGCTTAATTGCTACCACACTTCCTACTGCAAGATACATTTTGATTCTAAAACATGAATTTTCTTAAAGGCAAATAGTATTCTCTGAAGTCTGGTTCTGCAACATGTGGGCTCCCCAAGTGTTTAGTCTTGGAAGAAAAATGTTTATTTTTTGCCAATGCCTTTGTGCCGTTAAAATGTGGTTATGTGACCACTCATGAGATAGCTTGGTTGTTCCTATGATCCTGCTTAAGTGATGAGGAGAATTCTACCACTTTCCTATGCAGATGTGAGCCAACATCTGTTGTGATGTGGTAATTAGAGCCTACTCTTTCATAAGAAATAATTTATCAATTGTATGTCCCCATGTAGGGGAGAATTCTCAAGTGTATTGTATTTTCTGGAAGGTAATGTTTTAAACAAGGAGAACAATGTTTACGTTGTTAGGTAAATTATACCATCATGATCCCACCCTACAGTTGCACCTGGCAGGAGTAATAAGCCCTGTTAAGTTCTGATAAAAACTTATGTTCTACATACATAGTGAAAGGAACTTGTTAGACCACCTCCTGCCATTGCCTTTATCAAGCAAAAATGTCTCAAGAGGAAGCCTTCCATATCCATTCCTAAAGTTTGTAAGCTGCCTTGAGCAATATAGTTTAGTCATGTGGGGTGTATAAATGTAAGAAATAGTAAACAAAACAAATTCTGGCTCACTTGGAGAGCCTGAATGGATAGAACACCTTTCCTCTTTGAACACTTTCATGTGATTAAAGTGATGATGGAGTTCAGGAGGGCTAGTTCATTTCCTTCATTATGAACTTTCCTAATGATTAAATAGGGCTATATCGAGCATACTTACGTATACTTACGGAGTTTGAGTCATATACCCCCTAGTATATTCTTTTCAGTTCACTGGTATTTCTCTTTAGCTATATTCTGGATATTGATCTAGTAATACTCAATGCCTGACTTACAAGTAACTTAAATAAGCTTCTTTTTCGTGGTCTCTGTGAATGCACACATATGGGTATTGTCTGCGCCTGCGCTGACTCTCTCGGAAGATTCTAGAGCTAAAAGTAACAATTTTATGGTTTGATCCCCCATGAGGTATATGCTTCTCCCACCCACCATCTTCCTCAGTTCCTTTTTTCCGCCGAGCTGAACGGTTCTCAGGAAAACTAGAGCGCTTCGCTTTTGCCTTTAGGCTGTTTTTTCAGGCTCCTTGAGCTTTTGTTTGCTTTGTTTATTGCAGTTTATTATTTACTTAGTGATCCTCCTAGTCTTTTGTTAGCCTAGTTTGGCTTCCCTCTGTTCTTTCCCCCCCTTTCCCCCCCCTCCCCTTCTCCATTTGCCTTCTCCAATTTGCCTCGTATGGCCTCACCGTTGCCTTTCAAGCGCTGTACAACTTCTGCAAACAAAATCACCCTTTCCGACAGCCACAATCAGTGTCTTTTTGTCTGGGCGAGGAGCACCAGACCCACTTGCGCCCTGCTTGCAAAATCTTACCGAGCCGGCACTTAAGCAAAGACTCCAAAGGCTTAGATCTTACCTGTGGCAAACGGCCATGAATCTTCCTGCTACCTCCTCAGAGGCGGCCAGATCTCCCGCTCTCTCAGCGGACAGAATTCCAGCAGGTCAATCCACTTCTGACTCTGTTTCTGTGCTACCAGCTAAGGACAGTGTTGAGAAAACGAAGGCATCTGGTAAGCACAAAATGCCTCCTTCTGGAAAAACTCGAGCGCACGATGCAGGCTCGAAAAAGAAAGCAAAACCTGCTTCCAAGAGGCCCAGGAGGGAGAAGCCACCTACCGTGGAGCCCCCTCAACCCTCCCTACCTTCCCTCATTCTTGAAGAGTCCTCAAGGGAAGCCCCTTATCTGGCCTCAGACGGAGATGAGCCCCATGAACCAACGGGCCTTTCCCTGATCCCTCTCAGTACTAAGCATTGGCCTCAACGCAGCTGCGCCACGGTCCAGCCCGGCCTCAGTCCACTCCAACCCCGACTCAGGGCAGGCAGTTGAAAGCTCGGCATCAGAACCGGAGGGTCCCCCTTCTGCTCCGTGGAAGAAGATGGAGAAATGAAAACACATCTCCCCACCGAGGTCCGTCCCGTCTCAGGGTGACTTTTGCCACTTTCCCATGGCACCATTCCAGTGCTTTGATCCCTACATTTGGCAAACCCTGTATGATTGGTACCAGCCCGATCAGGCCAAGCGCCCCCGACTGACGCCGGACCCTCCTTTGGCCATCCCTTCTATGGACTCGCTCCGACCCCATACAATGGCCCCTATTACAGCGGTCTCGGCACCATCACCGCACCCCATTGCACCGCTTAAACCAGCCTCAAGACTCGCTAAAGCCCCTGCGGCCACACTTTCGCGTCCTGTACTGGTGCCAGACCTGGTTCCCTCTCGGGATCACTTCGAGGCCTTACCAACACAGCGGCACCAAGCCCCCCCTACTGAGGGTCTTGCCCAATATGACTACCCTTCCTCTCCAGGGTCGCCAGCATCCACGGAGCCACAACCTTCTGAGTCCTCTCACGAGCCCGACCTGCCTCCCCCATCTCCCGGCACGAGGGGCAGTCATACCTCGTCTTGTTCAGACGATTTTTCCTCCTACACCCATTTGGTTTACCAGATGGCACAAGCCCTAAACCTCGATGCAGAGCAACCTCTGCCTGATGACATCGACCAGGAGCGAGTTGCTCCGTTGAGTCTACCCTTTAATAAGTCTATTCTTCAACTCATCAAAGACACCTGGGGAAAACCCCCTTCCACTATGCAGATTTCTCGCCGTGCCGATGGCCTTTACAGGACCCACGGCTTCGAGGCTGAATTCCTTAACAAGTATCCAGTACCTAATGCCATCATCGTCGAATCGAGTCAAGCTCGGGCTCATGCCAAAGCCAAGCCTATTCTTACCAATAAGGATGGCAAAAAACTGGACACTTTGTCCAAACGAATTTACTCCCTGCAAGCCTTTTTGCTTCGGAGCATCAGCTACCAAGCGACCATGGGCGCCTTTCAGTGCTATCTCTGGAACCAAGTCCTCCCCTTGCTTGACGCAGTCCCTGAACCTGTCAGGACAGAGGATTGCGGCCCGACGCCGCCGAAGCGGCTTCCAAAACCCTGATGACTTTTATCTCCATCCGTCGCCATGCCTGGCTCAAATCCTCTACAATTTCGGATGACACCAAATCCAGGATCGAAGACCTTCCCTTTGATGGTGTTGGCCTGTTCAACCAAACAACCAATGACACCATGGAGGACTTTTGTAAGAAACGCAAAACCGCACGTTCTTACTCTGTCAACCATCTACCTCTTACCAACGACCTTTTTATCACTCGGGTCAGTTCTACCCCAAGCAATACCAATCTCAGCAGTTCCAGCCTTACAGACAATACTGCCTGCAACAAACAGACTGATCCCTGACGGCCCCGCAGCCTCTTATGGCATCATACAAGCAACAGTCCCTTCCATGTCAGCGCCAGTCCTTTCGTAAAGGACAACGAAAGGGTGAGCAGTACTGACATTCATTCCTGCCACCCTCTCCTTCGGCCCCCTCTCAGCTTTACCAAGTTGGCCCCTTTCTTTCACTGCTGGCAAGCCATTACTTCTGACAAATGGGTTCTGTCCATAATAGCACGTGGCTACCTTATAGCGTTTTCCACTTTACCCCCCTTGGGGTTCATCCGTTACACCTCGTACTCCTCTGCCCTGCAGGACAAGGTTACCAAACTCATTCAAAAAAGCGCCATTTCTCCAGTCTCACCATCAGACTCTCTCAATGGCTTATATTCTAAGTACTTTAACATCCCTAAAAAAGACGGGGGACTTCGTCCTGTCTCAGACCTCACTCATCTCAACCGCTTTATATCTCCTCGCAAGTTCCGCATGCTGACACTGGACTCTATGATCCCTTTGCTTTCGTAGGGAGACTGGTTCATAATCATCGACCTGCATGACGCATATTTTCATATCTCTATTCACCCGGACCATCAAAAATTCCTCTGGTTCCACTTCAACGGCATCGCCTACCAGTTCTCCGCACTCTCGTTCGGGCTCTCTACCGCCCCCCCAAACTTTCACAAAGTGCATGGCACCGGTAGCAGCCTTTCTTCGGCTCCACGGCATAAACATTTATTCCTACATCGACGACTGGCTTATTGTAGCGGCATCATACCACGATGCCATATGAGCCCGGGACATGACACTCCGTACCCTGCATACCCTTGGGCTCAAAATCAACCTCGAAAAATTACACCTGCTCCCAAAACAAACAGCAAAGTTCATCGGCATAGAGATGGACTCCCTTCGCGCATGAGCGTTCCTACCTCTCGAAAGGATCGCGAAAATCCAGAAGGCGGTCCACCTCTTTTAAAACCATCAGTCCGTCTCCGCACACCACGCCCAACACCTCGGGCTCATGGCATTGACGACGGCTGTCGTCCAGCATGCCAAACTCAAAATGAGATCCCTACAGGCCTGGTTTCTTTTCCTGTTCGATCCAGTGACGGACCCTCCTTCCTCTCTGTTGACGGTAATGCCAGAACTGGCTTCCCAACTCAACTGGTGGACTTCCCCACACAATCTCCTCATCGGCAGACCTTTCTCCCCATTGAGACCGTCGATACAGGTCACAACCAACGCCAGCCCAATGGGCTGGGGTGCTCACTGCCGACAGCACAAGGTCCACGGACTGTGGTCAGCACAGGAGCTTCCGCTCCACATAAACCATCTGAAACTGCTAGCCATCATCAAAGCGTTCCATGCCTTTCTTCCCCTTATACGGGGCCAAGTAGTGCAGCTGGCAATGGACAACGCCACTGCGCTTTTCTATGTCAACAAGCAAGGCGGCACACACTTCCCCTCTCTCCTGTACCTAGCTGTCGACCTTTGGGAGTGGTGCTATTCCAACCATGTCTTTCCCATTGCCGTCCACATATCCATGGACGACAACACCTTAGCGGACCGACTCAGTCGGCTCCCAACAAGAACACACGAATGGACTCTGAACGATGTCATATTCCAGCAGCTGTGCCACAGATGAGGCACTCCTTCACTGGACCTTTTTGCCTCCGAAACCAACAAGAAATGTGCCCGCTTCTGCTCCAGAGCAGGCAGAGACAGCGCCTCCCTGGGGGACGCGTTTCTCATAGACTGGTCCCAAGACCTCCTCTACGTGTTCCCTTCGCTTCCCCTCATTCAGAGGGTCATCATCCGCCTTCGGCAGGATGGAGCCAACGTGATCCTGATCGCCCCATTCTGGCCACGCCAGCCATGGTTCACTCACCTGGTCTCAATGTCGTTGGACATGCTCCACCTTCCTCTCCGTCCAGATCTCCTCTCTCTCGACCGTGGCCTTGTCCTTCACCCCAACGTCGCCTCTCTCAAACTTTCAGCTTGGAGGATACTCCCAAAGTAATGTGGGTCCTCCTTCAAGCCCGTAAGCCTTCTACCACTATCCTATATGAGAATAAGTGGAAATCTTTCCTCAAATATACTCACGACAACGGCTTACCTTCTGTGCCCGTCTCCCTAAAGACTGTGCTTACTTCCCTTCACCTCTTTGAGTTTGGTCTCTCTCAGTCCACCATACAAGTCTACTTATCGGCAATTATGGCTCACCAGCCAGACGACTCACCTTCTTCCAAGTTGTTTTCTCACCCAACTGTCAAGAAGTTTCTCAAGGGGCTCAACAACATGCGCCCCCCTCAACAACACATCACTCCCCAGTGGTCGCTGCAACTGGTTCTCAATGCCCTTATGCAACATCAATTCGAACCAATGGCGTCTATTGACTTTAAGTTACTCACCCTCAAGGCGGCCTTCCTAGTCGCCATTACATCGGCCAAAAGAGCCAGCGAGCTCGCCGCTCTACGGGCTGACCCACCCTTTATTCAGTTCCACCCTGATAAAGTGACTCTTTACTTTGATGTTTCCTTTCTCCCTAAGGTGGTCTCCGACTTCCACCTCAATCAGCCCATCATACCTCCGTGCTTTTTCAAATCCCCATCTTCGCCCCTGGAACATATGCTCCACAACCTCGATGTCAAACGTGCTTTGGCCTTCTATGTCGAAAGGACTAAATCCATCAGGAAATCCAACAAACTTTTCCTGTGTTTCCATGGCCCAAATAAGGGAAATCCAGCCTCTTCTCAAACTATAGCACGCTGGATAGTACAGACCATTTCCCTTGCTTGCAGCCTGTCGGGGAAAACTCCTCCACAGCACCTGATAGCTCATTCTACCAGAGCGTTGTCCACCTCCACTGCCTTTCACCGCGGCACCGAGGTCCCTGACATCTGTCGTGCTGCCACTTGGTCCACGCCGTCGACGTTTGTCAAACACTACCGGCTGGACGTCAGAGCACGCCAAGATGCTGCATTTGGCAGAGCTGTCCTGTCATCCTTCTTACCATGACGACCCACCAACCGGTAAGTGCAGCTTGCTAGTCACCCATATGTGTGCATTCACAGAGACCACGAAAAAGAAAAAGAGGTTACTTACTTGTAACCATGGTTCTTAGAGTGGTTCTCTGTGAATTCACACATATGGGTATTGTCTGCGCCTGCGCGGACTCTCTCGGAAGATTCTAGAGCTAAAAGTAACAATTTTATGGTGTGATCCTCCATGAGGTATATGCTCCTCCCGCCCACCATCTTCCTCAGTTCCAAACTTATCCGCCGGGTGCGAAGGAATCAATTAATTAAGTAGCCAATTAACCCGTGACGGACAGTGGGGAAGGGTGCGTGGGTTGTGTGAATTCACAGAGACCCACTCAAAGAACCATGGTTACAGGTAAGTAACCTCTTTTTTTTTCTTCTCAATGATTTCTTGTAAGCTGATACATGTGTAGAGTTGTTCATTAACTTTTCTGTTGTCTGTTGGAAAAGTGGAAATTAAATACTATCAGGGGCAATTCCAAAATTTAAGTGTGTGTGTGAGTTGCTGTATTAATTACTTGAGTACTTAATGTTTTTGTTAGATTGCACTATGAGGGATACCTTAAGTGTAATTGGTTTCTCTGTTCTTTTTAGGATCCTGGACCACCACCTCCATCACCTCTGATGGGCTTAAAGCCACTTCAGTTACTAGAGATTAAAGCCAGGGGAAGATTTGGCTGTGTCTGGAAAGCTCAGTTATTAAATGAATATGTAGCTGTGAAAATATTCCCAATCCAGGTAGGCAACAACCCTGGAGTCTTATACTGTTTAAAGGACAGTTTCATTGATAATTATAACATGCTTTTATTTATTTTCAAAATATTATAGCTTAATAACAGCAGAAGTTTTGAAAACAAATATGGGAGGACTAGCAAGTAGTATTTTTGTTCAGTTAAGGGGAAAGTGGAATGCTAACTAATAACACAATTTCCACAAGAATCAGATTTGTAAGACTACAGGGGAAATATCTTGTCCAAGAATCTGAGGGCAAAGCCAGCTGATCTTGAAACACAAAGTCATTGCTTTGAAACTGCAGTTTCTGCCACAACAGAAGGCAAACCACTGCTACATATATTCCTTTAAAATTAATTCATTTCTTCTTCCTGGTCTCTATGGATCTCCTATATGAGTTGTTGTGCCTGACAGAATGATCTAGAGAATGTTGCAGCACCTCGTAGCCTAAAGCATTTCTCCACCCCACCTCCATCACACAGGCTCTGGCACTTCCTCACAGTTCCTCCAATTCAGTTTGCTTCTTTCTTTTCTTCTAAGCCTCTTCTTCCCTCTCTCTGGCAGTAACATCCCTGCCCCCATTGCATTCTACCGGCCAGCTAACTAAGGAAAAACCCAAAACATTTTTCTGCCCTGTATTTTTCCCCAGGATTACTGTTCCTCCGTCTTTTTCTCATAGTGGCTGTTTATTAACCCCATTATTGGAATCAGCATGGCTTTTAATGTCAATTACTAAGGGAAGTGAGCTGGTGCATGATGTTATGTTCATGTTCTGGATGTATGTTTCACATAAACATACGACTAGTCAGTATATAAAGAAAACACTGGAGCAGGAAGACTTTAGGTCTGATCCAGCATGGCTATTCTTATGTTATAGGATAAATCCTCTTTCTTATGTGTTATGTGTGTATATTTATTTACTTACTTACTTACTTGCATACTTAATTTATAAGCCTGCCTTTCTACTAACAGGAATCCGAGAGGGCGTACTAGAATTTTCAAAACACAGTTAGAGGGATTGTTAAAAATACAATAAATTATTTAAGTTACATGAATACAATAAATGATAAAACAATTAAATACAGTGGTGCCTCACACAACGATGTTAATTGGTTCCAAAAAAATCAATGTTGTGTGAAACATCGTTCTGTGAAACACCATTTCCCATAGGAATGCATTGAAAACCAGTTAATCCATTTCAATTGGAACGGATTGCCATCGCTGAGTGAAAATCCCCATAGGAAACATCGCTGTGTGAAACAATGTTTCCTTCATTGGAATGTATTGAAGCCGACTCAATACATTTCAATGGCTTTGCGAAGTCCTTTTTCGCTCCTGTAAAAGTGTCTTACAATGTTTGGAAGCTGTTTTAAATGATTGCAATGGTTAGCCCACCTCCTGAAACCTATGCAAACTGATTTTGGTGTTGTTCTGACACTTCGTTAATTTATG